CTAATTGTGTAGATCGATGCTCATGCTCTGTGAAATTGAATTATACTAAAGTTTACTCACTGAACTGTGAAGAGATCATTAGCTGTTATTACCACATGCATTCGCCTGGAAACCAAATACAAGACCGATTCTGAGCAGAATACGTGTTCGTGAAAAGCGTCAGCCCTCTTAACATTCTATAAAAGCAATAATGTTTGTGTGTGCTTTAACGCCGCACTCAGCAACATTTCATCTGTGTGGCGACCGTCTGTAAATAACTGGACCAGACAATCCAGTGATTATCATCATGAGCATCATCTAGCCTGACCACACTGTCGCCTCTTACGACAAGCATAAATTTCTGAAGAACAATTCTAACGCGGATTTTCAAGGGTTGATAACACTAATGAATTCAGCCTACACAATTCCCGAGTGCATCTTTAACGATCAGCATGAAATCAAAGCTCCTATGACAGGATTCGTCTCATGGCTGCGAAAAACGCAATACCCTGGAACGAATCTTTGGCAGCTGTGCGTTATTGTTCCTAATATAGAGCTGTCGTGTCAGAAAACAGCTGACGGGTTTATCCCCATTTTCACTTTCATGCCTGACTAGTAGGTGCTCACACACACTCACATATTCGAACACGTATGTTTAACTGTGTTCGTACCACGGCTCAAGACATAACTCAAAGGGTGTTCAGGAATTACTGGTGTCATTCGGGTATGTTGAAAGCTTTGTGCTATACATCATACTTTAAATATGATACAGGTTTCGGCTTCAGGGTATTTTGTGTTTGTTATTTAACGCTGCTTGTCAGTTATATCATCTCTGCAAACCCGTTCTCGAGTGTTGGTCAGACAAACCTGTGATTGATATCATGAACGCTATACACGATGACGGGTAACAATAACACACCACATCAAACATATCAGTTTATCATACACAAACCTTTACAAATATTTATGCCCTTTCGATTATTATTTTCACACTTTCAGGTGTGTCTAAAATTACACACTGCATGTAACGGTTGTTTAAAATGCTGGTCACAGTGTTACATTGGGACAAGGATTTGTCAAACAGTAAGGTCCCGCTTAACACGTTTGCTATTCACACCTAAGATTAAGTTCGAAGCCCGTTACAGATGCCCCTCCCTTATATCTACTGAAAAGCGGCGTAAAACCATACTCATTCACCAATAGGAATTGTTTATAAGGGATCGTTCATAATTTATGGCTGGGGTGTGTGTGTGTGTGTGTGTGTGTGTGTGTGTGTGTGTGTGTGTGTGTGTGTGTGTGTGTGTGTGTGGCGTATGTATGCGTGCGTGTGTGTGTAGCGTATGTGTGCGTGCGTGTGTGTATGTGTGTATGTGCGTGATGGTCATGTACAAAGTCAATCCCCCTCGCATAATTTTTAAGCATAATTGTTTAATATTTTTATATACAAAATGATGACCCTTGCCTCCCCAGAACAAAATGGGTGACCCCCATCCCCTTTAAAATCAACAATCCAGTGATCTACGAAACACGTTGATCTACGCAATTGGGACATGTCGACATGTGTCAACCAAGTCAGCGAGCCTGACCACCTGATCCCGTTAGTCGCCTTTTAGGACAAACATGGGTTGCTGAAGACAAACCAAATGGTACGCCTACGGGCCACAATTCTTCACAATGAATCGCAGCACCTCACATGACTGGGCCTGTTGCTCCTATCATCTACACCTCGTATAGTCTACCATATACATATATGTAAGTTTTAAACTACACAGAAAGACAGAACAATCAGAATTAAAAAATGTGTAAATTTATTTCAAAGTGTGAAAACGTGATTTGTAATAACATTTAAAACATGACGACGGGTAGTACAATTAGAGGAATATCAAAGAGTATGAGAGCATCATAAAGGTATAATTATTAGTTGGCGGTACAATATAAACCTAGCTATTTATGGTCAACAACCCAAAGTATATCACAATGACAAAATCTAACGAGAATAGTCCTAATGATAAGAGCAATGCACAATGGAAATGGTTAGACAATATGCGCACTGCTCCAGTTCCATTAATAGTGCTTTACACTATAATCACAACTGTGACAATGTTACTTTGCATCCAAGGATTGTCTATACTACAACAGTATAACAACATACTGGCCATGGTAGCCACACTTTCAGTATCAGTTCAGAATTCTTGACTCAACTGCCAAAGGAAAGACCTCCCTTTGAGTAGGTGAGATGGATGACTCGAGACTTTCACATATTAGAGTCAGTATTTTGTTTCTCCCACTGATTCACAATATAACAAGTTCTCCAACATAAGTACAACATATTTTCCTGTTGAACTGAGCATCACCAACCTTCTCCCCAATAACAGCTATGGTATATCTTCCACCTCAAGTGATGGATATACACTCGGGGTTGCCCCTGCTTGGCTTGTTGCTGCACCAGCACCTTTTCCATAGGAAACCTTCACTTTCTGTGACACACCGTACCTGAACACCACACTGCCGTGTACAGGCAGCTCCACAGTACGGTTTTGACTGTCAAATTTTAAATCATTCATACTGCCACCACTTCTGATATTAATGTCTTTAAGAATAGTTGACACGTCGTTTTCAACCACCTGCACGACTTTCTCCATGTTTCTCCTGTCCCGAATCACAACCACCACTCTTCCCCTTTAGTTTGATGGCGCTGGTGAATTTATATTTTGCGCTCGTCTCCTCCACCTCCATCATGGCTATTGTTTGTTTCTTACTCTTGGACACTATCGTTGTGTCCACAGACCAGAATCTTCTTCTTTCTGACAACACTGTTTTCATCAGTTCCCACGTGAATGCTGTTCCCGAAACTGGCAGTCGCCATTTGCTTCTTTCGCGCATCTGGAGATTCATCGCCACCGGTCATTCGTGACATTTCGTCCGGAAGGTCCATTTCAATCGTAGTATTCGCCTGCTTGCTGTAGCCTTTGGTCAACGTGATACTAGCAGTAGACTCCGTGTCCTGTTCCGTTTTGAAACTGTGCGTCTGGTCATTGTCTGTATCATTGTCGTACTCCGCCTCAATGACCACTTTGGTTCCAGATTCCAGATCCTCGAACTGCTTCTCATACTTAGTTTCCTGGGTAGTAGTTTTAATTTGTCCCATAAAATCTGAATGTCTGCGTGTTTATACTTCAGTTTGGGCCTGAAGAGCTTTACCAAAAGTTTGTACTTGTGTTCAAATAATGCATCCAAGCCCAAACTTGGAAATATTCCTGTAGATCGATGATTCTTTGAAACATTTTGTTTATGTATCCCGACTGTCGTATTGCGCCGAGCTCAAGCTCAGAGTGAGGCGTGTTTGCTGCCTCTCGGTCTTTTATACCGTTCAGGCGGGACTTCCCCTTTGTAATTCCCTTGCGCAAAGAAAAAATATCTTTAGCTCTCACGTAATCGCAGTCTCAGACAGTAAATGTAGCGTTTGTTCCACGTCATGACAGTCGGTGACAGGCCAGTACAGACACCCAGATAGCATTCGAACCATTGCCAACGTTGGTCCAACGTCTGAATGCTATCTGGGCAAAGATAAATAATTCCTTGTTAATCATTTGTTCATGAAAGTATGACGTTTTATGCAAATCCTAACTCACTCCGACCCAGCCTCACTACAGTCTGTTGTTTGATCCCCGTCTCTGTGATCACGTCTATTTATAACTGTTTGGGTTTTCCCAAGGTTATTTTGTCCAGTGAACTCAACCGCACTCTAAATTGGACATGTGACTCCTTGTTGAGCAATTATATAACCACCGGCATAATTCATATGATGTCAGTGATCACATACGAGTTATAATGACACACCTGGAAACATATGTGCAGCATAGTGCCATCAGCTCCACATAAATACAAACATTTTATTATATTGATAAACGTGTAAGTCAGTTCACTAGTTACAAACAATTCAAGAGCTCATTCATAATTACTTTTAAACATTTACTGGTTATATCCGTCAACTTCTAATAATCATGTGGTTATACAGTGTTATTTGATAAAGCATTGCTGGTCTAACTCCGTTCTCACCGGCACGCTACGAGGGACGCCCAGTGTTACATCTTGAATGACGATCACGACTATTGGGGATATTGTAAGGTGCGAGTAATGTTTACAGTTGATTTGCATCGCGGCTGTCATTCTCTACTTCGCTTTGTCCAGTAGTGAAAGGGTCGGAATATATCTCTACTTTCCCTTCGTCTAGTATCAAATGTGATCTATATATATTCCCTTCGTAATAAATTGAAATATACGTGAAACCCTTCTTAGAATCAGTGAGTTTTCAGTTATAACTACTATCGCTATTGAGCATTTTCACTTTAGGGTTGTAGTGTGCTGTATTAGAATTGAGAGAGTTCAGGGTAGTCTATACTTATAAAACTTTTATGGATCAAGGGGGCCACTTCAAATCTGTCAATTTTTTGACCAAATGTTCAGTACTCTCCACGTCAGATGAAACTCTACATGTACGGAAGTGCTTAAAACTCACTTAAGAAATACAGGGCATCAATTAATGCGTTCCCAGTTGTGTTTCTTTAGTTTTAATGAACGCGCAAAGTCAATCAATAGACGAACGTTTTGACTCTGAATATATATAATTTTGATAGTAACAAACAAACCCATATAAATTAAAAAGGAATCCCAGGGAGACCAGAGATTCAGAACCTGAGAAAATCTAGACTTGTTTCATTTAGGGCTTTAGCATTGCAGTGAGGGTTAGGCAATATGGAACATAATGTGGTTCAGGGACTGTGAAACAGACTAAGTCAATCACCAACGCACTGACCTATCCACTCACTCACTCACCCACCTTTTACAGAGCTGAGAAGACGACGAACGCTACCATTACAACAACCATTACGAAAGGGTTCGCTAAGGAAGGAAGCTTTGGGCTGGAGTTGTCCCTACCCGCTGACGTCGCCAAGGCAACGATTGGGTTTGGTCTCAACTACACTGTTGAAACTGCCGAGGAACATACCATCGCAAAGTCAATGACGTGGGCCACAGATACAACAGTGACGTCAGAACCGAAGTCAGTCACTCTGGCAGAGCTTGAGATTCAGGAACAAGCTTCCAGCTGGACATTCGAGGTCAAGGTCACCATCAAAGGGCGGATAACTGCAGTTATCAAAGGTACCAAGGGCATGACATCTGTTGCCATGACGATTGATGGAGATGTCGCAACTGTCCTTGAAGATCGTCGAGCAGGAACTGCATCGTCTGTACCCAAAGATGTTGACATAAAACATGGCAAGGTCACTTGGCCGGTGACGGGCAAATGTGACTTCCGGTTCGAAACATGTCCCAGAAAGTGAAAGTCTCTGCCTGCACAACCAATAGATAAGAAGGACTAATGAAATTTAGATTTTTTTAAATCCCCACACTGATGCGTCATACGTAAGAAGTTTCAAATGGTAATAGAGTTCCAAACCATTCACTAGTGCTTTGTCCCATGCTTGTCGACTAACGGGATCGGTGGTTGGGGTCGCTGACATGGTTTACGCACGTCATCGTGTCCCAATTTCGTAGATCGATGCCTCAAGATGTCAGTAGATTGTCTGGTCAAGGCAGACTGTCGTCATCGATGATATTATCGGATTTTGAAACAAAACCTAGGTTTATGTTTCCAAGGTTTCCAAAATTAATTTTTCGTATTACCATTCCGGTTCTAAGTGGCTTAGTTGCCAAATCTCGACCTTTCAAATTTCTGCTTTGAATAAATATCTATGTTTCATGAGGTCGAACCTTTCGAAAGAAGTGCGGTTACGTCAATGATCATGTAAAGAGGTGTTTCGCAAAATCCCTGAAAGTCCATTCAGGTAGCTTGAACGTCGCCGTTATCAACCGGAGACGCTTTTACATTACTTATAAGTTCGTATAAGATGAATTGATTTAGAAAGCTGGAAACGGCGTCTGTTACCATGGAAAGATTTGTATTTGCCGGCTGTGTAAGGACTGTGGATCAGAAGAAAACAGTTCTATGGTTAAAACACTGGTATGTTTCCAGGATTGAAAAACAGGCAGTACATGAACGCCTGGTAATAACTTTCTATTAATCAACAATAAACATTTAGCGTTGTATCGGTAATATTACTGTAATTTATTATTGTTGATAAACTAGATTTCTTTCAAAACACACATCGTATATGCTAACTTTTATAAGCAAAGAAATTATTCAACACGGATATGTTTTGTATTTTTATCATACCTTTTACCATTTTCATGTATTGAAGTAGATGAGCAATAGCATAATTATGGTGCATGTGACAATGTGATTACAGAGCTTTACTAGCGCTTCCGATAAATTTTGCCAATACGCCTATAATTTGTGCTTTATTTCATTCTGTTCTGACAATTACCACTGGAGCCACAGATCCAGAAAAGACGTTAACAGGATGGTACTTTGATGTTAACCTGCCTGACACACGGCATAAGGTGATAAAACGGCCGGTCAGCTCTGTAGTCAGTATAATGTGTGTCAGAGTAGGGGGTATGCATGTATAAATGCGACGTGGTGTCCCACTCAGCTGGATCTATGACAGTCAATCTACTCCTGAGACTAGTACACGCATGTACACCGTAATGTTAATCTTCAGCTTTATCTTCTTCCTGTTCATTTGCAGCAATTCTTAAGATACAGATTTAATAAAACAAACACTTCTTTAACTTTGGTTATTTTGTTTAATTTCTACAACAAAAGCAAACATGTGGTCAAAACAGAGACCCAAACTGGTATCACGTACGTTTTTATAGCACAAAAAGCAACTTCATGAAAGACGTTTCAGAGTATGCTGGGCAAGCACGGCGCAGGATTATCAACAATATCAACGTGCTAAGCGCAACAATAAGCGTTACGTTCTCCACGGGCCGACACTTCGACTCCATCCTTCCATAAATGAGGTGGACTCCTACAGTGAAGAGAACAACTGGTCCTAGCTGACGTAAATGGCTCGTCGTACCGTTTGCGAGACCCTCTTCGTCCAATGAATGGTAGTGCTTTGTTGTGGATGCTGGCTTGAACCTGTTGTTCCTTATATGACTGAAGACGATTTGAGGATCACCTGTCGAATGTGACACGATAGCCCTGTGGTCATCGATCACGTGTTCTGCCAGGCCTGGGACAACAGCGCGACGATTTTGAATCTCTCAGGACAAATAAACTTTCTAGCCACTCTTGATCTGACACCTGAATCCCAAACGATTCGATTCCCCGAATGGTTCCCTATGTGTGAAGCCCTTCGTGGCCTCCACCACCGTGATGTTTGCTATTAGTGGCGTAAACTCATACTAGGTCACTCAAGCTACTGAGTGAGTGAGTTTACTTTTACGCCGCACTCAGCATTATTACAGCTATATGGCGGCGGTCTGTAATTAATCGAGTCTGGATCCAGTGATCAACAGCGTGAGCATCGATCTACGCAATTGGGATACGATAACATGTGTCAACCAAGCGAGCCTGACTGCCCTATCCCTCTAGCCGCCTCTTACCATGCAAGCATGGGTTACTGAAGATGAATTCTAACCCGGATCTTCACGGGTCACACGCTAGAATCTTATGGGGCATTTCGTTACTCACCAGCACATACGCTGCAGTGTTCTTTCACTTTTGCCCTCCACACCGCACGTTTCGCTGTGTTGGAGGTGGTCCCGTCACAGGAGACGTCAGTTGAGCCATACATACACCCTAGCGTCGTAGCGGATGCTCTGAAAGGTAACCATGGCAACAGAATCATAAAGTGTCATTTGGCGGGGTTTTTGCAAAAGCAGTCTCGTAATTGTACCACATTGTTTCACCAAAGATCAGTGGTGTGCTGGTTACATCTGGATTAGTTAACACTAGTCAGGAACCTCCTGGACCATTCCAATATGGGATAGAACTTTCCAGAAGGTATTCAGACAAACGTACACACGTGACATTTTATCTCTGACATTACATCAAGGCACCGGTCATCCTGGATAAAGCGACCTCTTTAAGAAACTTAACCATTGTTGCTGCCAGATGCGTTTTATTAATCCCGATGTCAATGCCATTGCTATTCCTTTATGAATATAACATAGGTTTTGTTTGTTTGTTGTTTTACGCCGCACTCAGCAATATTCCAGCTATATGGCGGCAGTTCGTAAATAAACCATTTCGGATGTCCCAGCCATGATATTGTAAAAGTGGCGTGAAACTCCCTTCACCCACCCACGAAGACAAGCAGTTGTGTGAAAAATACATGTCGTCCTGGTATCCCAGCCTAGCCGTGTTTGGAAGTTTGTGATTGGGCAACTTTGCATAAAAATTACTTTGCTCAATGAAGATATAAAGATGAATATAATACTGCGATATGAAATACATTTTCAACCACATACGTCTAAACCGTGTTTGAAATGTTGTATATTTGGGTAAAATAGGAAACTATTGTTTTTGAAAGATAAGATATCAAATATACCGAATAGAATTTGTTAATCATAGGAAAGTTTAATTTTTCACTTTAAAATTTTAAATCAAAATTATTTTTTAAAACATAAAGACTTAGTGTTGACTAAGCGCCCGTACAGTATACTTTGTTCATATAATCTCAATTAATTGAGATATTTTCAATCTGAAAAGAAACGTCTAAAAATCAACTGAGCGGTGTAATAGTTCGTTTGTTCCTCTCTTTATATGCTCGTATGTTATACCTATTATTGTATGTACTTTCTATAGGCTGTTTTTACTTTAACATCATATTAACGTTCCGTCTGGTTCCTATTGTCTTGGACCGTCTCCGTGGTGTAGTGGTTAAAGCGTCCGCCCGGAGAGCGGAAGGTCGCGGGTTCAATCCCCGACCGCGTCATACCAAAAGACGTTAACATATGGTACTTGCCTGCCTGGCGCTCGGCATTAATGGGTACAACAAGAACTGGTCGGCTCGGAGTCAGTATAATGAGTCTGAGTGGGGTATTCCTGCTTCACTGCGGCATGGTATCTCAGTGTGCTAGCACTATAAAACCAGCTTGAGTCTGGGCTAGTACAAGCAGCCACACATACACATACATATGCATGTCGTCATGTGAGCGAAATATTCTCAAGCACGACTTTAAACCCAATTTCACCTCACCTCACCTATTGTCTAGTGACGAGGTCAATCGATATAGGTCACGGAGGGCAATAATTGTGAGCTTGACTTGTCGATTATCGATTAATTTCGGAGAAGTAACTTGAAGTAAAATATGCAAAGAAAGTCTCAAAGAAATCAACATATTTCAAATCACTAGAAAACTGGTGGCATGCTTCATAGCGTCTGATCTTGTGCATAGAGCACAGGTCACACATCAGCTGAAGTTGAACTACGTTGAAGAAAGAGAGTCCTTGGGTTGAGATCATGTTTGGCAGTTAGACTCCTGAGATTTCTGGGACTTTAGTCCTGCCCCACAACGAAGCACACGTGACACATGTGATCTCACCCAAGGCAAGTGCGTTTGTTCATAAATTGCCTCTGTTCACCCCAAACAAGAGAATTTGTACCCTGTGGGGTAAGTCATATGATGGTTAACCTGCTAGGTTGACAGGTTTAGTTAACCTGGGTAATAATGTCGTAGCGTCAACAGGCGCTTTATAAATGTCCATTGTTATCATTATTATTCCTTATTATGCATGGATTACTTACAAAACAGCATTCTGAACATAGGTAGTAATAATCATTTCCCCGTGCACTACACCTATATTCAACAAAAGGGGAAATAAAGGAGAAATAGTATAAAATCGATATTCGTACCTATTTCAAGAGAATTCCCATAAATAAACAATAGCTCTTCAGTTCAACCTTGTACAGAGGGTTCAGCTACGTACACGTGTTATAACCCGGTGGAAACACGGGTTAGAATCGCTTTCCAGCACTCTAATGTTTCGAGGCAACAGAACAGGGCCCAATTGCACAAAGCGGTCTTAGCGTTAAGATGGTCGTTACTCCTATGTAGGACTGCACGGTATTATTGGTATATCGCAAGCGATACGTATTGCAATATATTTTCTGAGAACCGGTATATTGGGTAAAGAACATATATGAAGTTTTTGTGATTATCTTTATGGTTTAAATTAAAGTCTACACACTTTCATACACAATAAATGTTTTCCTTCATTATTCAATTACAAAACGGCATACAATAAATTGTATAAACCAAAAATAGAATCCCTGACTATGAAAATTCTAATTTTGAGATTGCTGTTATCAGAACCATAACATAAATGTTTAGGGACTTATCATGTATAAAATAGAATTGACATGCACAATTAGTGTCACTTGCTGTAAAACACTCAAGCTCCCAATATATAGCAATACGTAGCGCG